TTATATTTTGAGAAATAATTTTATGAGATACTCCCTCCGTCCCCCTAAGTTTGTCCCGTTTTACCTTTTTCGTCCGTCCCACTAAGTTTGTCTCATACCATATTTGGTAACATTTGAGTGGTTAGAATTCATTCTTACTTTATTTACACTTTATCAATTCAATACCAACCATACAATTCCACTTTTTCTTAAAAACCACATGCACCACACTCCTCCGTCCCAAACTTAGGGGGACGGAGGGAGTATATATTAATAACTGCGATGTTATAGATGTATTATTTTTAATATTTAATGATGATTGTGTCACTTAAGATTGTTAATTGTTTCCTAAAATGGAAATGAGAACCTTTATATGAGACGTCCAAAAAAGGAAAGTGAGAACCTTCTAATGAGATGAAGAAATTAGCTACTTATTTCTAGATTGTAAAATAATTTGAGAAGTGTAGAATTTTATTTGAATAGAAAAAAAGGATATTAAGTCAAGTAAAAAACCCAAAGATAAAATGGTGTACCATACAAAATCATGATAAATCAAAGGGAGATAAACGGTTCATAATGCATCTTTATCATCAATTTGGAATTTCTAATTCTCTTTTCAAGTAGGAAAGATATGTTTTTTACATAACCAAACTAAGAATCTTGTAAACAAAATTTAAAAAATAGAAAACTGTCAAATCAGCCCATCTACTATCTTGAAAAAGTCAATTGAGTCCACATACTATTTTTCAATCAATTAAGTCTATCAACTATCAAAAAATGTTCAAATATGCCTTTTCTCCGGTAATTGACTGGTTTCTCCGGTTAATCAGCCTACGTGGATGTCAACATGGCTTTTTCTACAATATTATAAGGGGGAATTTTGTCAAGGGTTTAACGGACATAAAAAAAATGTTGGTTGCTCTTTATGCATAATCCGCTTGTACTTTATATTTATTTTGTTGTACATTGTAACCTATAGCAGCTTCAATTATTACTAACGGATAAACGGAAGGGTTCAACGCCTTATATCCTCCGTGAGTATACGCGAAAACCTCGATCTATTAGTTTTATTTCCTGCATCGATGAAACACCTCAGTTCCTCTCTTCAGTTTCAGCCGCTCAACGTTCTACCCTCCATAGTAATGGCTTCTGAACAGCCGTTTACTTACTCAAAGGTCAGGGTGTCACTTATAAATAATATGTCCCAGTTCTTCAACAGATTTTCCGCTCAACGTTCGACTCTTGTAAGCCTTTCCTCTTTCAATCAATTTACATTGTATCATTGCTTTGTTGTTACTGCTCTCCGCATCTATGCTCAGTACCTCCCTCTACGTCTGCTTAATTCCTTGTTCGTGAAGTTTTTTGTGTGTTTCCCTATTTTCAATTTTACTGCCTCCCAAACCCCTCTGTCATTGTATGGTCTGTGCCCCTAGATTTGTTTATGGCAGTAGTTTGGGTGGTTTGGGTTTATTATTCCATTTTCCAATAGTGTAGTTTCCCCTTTACATTTATGTCCTCTGTGTGTTTGTTTAAATGTCCCAATAAAATTAAGTAATTTGTTGCATTTGAATTTTTAATATTTAATGTAACTAATCTCCGCATTTTTATGTTTTAGTATTATGTAAGCCTGAAAGGGACATTTGTATAAAGGCTGACTTACTCTCTCACGTAATATCAGTTTTCGTTTGGAAGTGGAAAATCAATTAGGATACTAAACTTAACATATTCTTCTTATGCCATAAATGAGTATGGTTTATTAAGTTTGATCCCAAAAAAAAAATACATACGTACATGATGCTAGGGGAATGGTTGGTAGGAAGTAACCTTGATAACCAATCTCTTATCATGGGCAATAACAGCAACACAGAGAACATATATTGTAGCACCAGTAGTTTTAGTCGAATGATTAGTAACTATAAAAATGTTAAAATATTTTTCTCCAGCTTTTCACTAACTATAAAAATCATATGTCAGCTTTCGAAAATGGTGCAGGGGAGACAGTACGTAGAAACTAACCTTGAGTGTCAACCTCTTATCATAGCAACTTTCTTGCAAGTTTTAGTAGTTATTCTATCCATGTTATTAATAGAAAGTATCTGCATTTGTAGTTGCATCTTCCATTTTCTCTTCAAACTGTTTACATAATTAGTTTTGTGAATAACACCTTTGTATATATGTTCTCATAGTAAAAAACATCTAATCTATAGGCATTACCACATATAGTTAGTTGTCTGCTTTTGAGTATTTAAACTTCCCTTTCTTAGTTTGCGAATGGAAGAGTAACTACTCTTATGGACTACACTTTTCCACTGAATGCAGGATTACGGATTTGTAATAAAAAAAATAACATGCCCCCATACCATACCGGTGAAAAAGTAATAATAACAATAATTCTGGACTATTTGCCTGTTATTACCGTTATTATTATTACTATGACATTTAAGGAACTTAAGAGGGACAGGGTAGTGGATGATCGACTGCAGTTATTGGTGAATGTTAGTGGGGTGTTCCGTCCCGGGGTGCTTACTGCTTTAGTTGGGGTTAGTAATGCTGGAAAAACTACACTAATGGATGTTTTAGCGGGTAGAAAAACTGGTGGGCATATTGAACGTAATATATACATTTTGGGTCATCCCAAGAAGCAAGAAATTTTTACAAGAGTCTTCGGTTACTGCGAGCAGAATGAATGTTCATTCCCCATGCTTAACTGTCAATGAGTCCATACTTTTTTCTGCTTGGGTCCGTCTATCCTCTCAAATTGATTTGAAAACACAAAAGGTATATAGGAAAACAAGAACATCTTCGTTTCCTTTATGATTCTTCAATTTCTTTTGATAAGTATTTACATTGAACAGATGAATAAATATGTTTTTTCGTACCTGAAAATATAGCATTTTTCTGTTTTGGTCCCTGTGTTTTTTTGTCATTCATCCTTGTAGTTTACGTTATTGTGTTTTAGCCCATCATCAATATCTATTAAAAAATTTGCCGTTCAGGCGACAATTATGGGAGTTAGGGAAATTCATCATCCTCACTTTCAATTTTTATTCCTCTATGACTCTCTGGAAATAAAATATGACAAACATTTAAAATAATTTGATGTGAAAACTGAAAAATTAGTCTGGACTGAGTTGTGTCAGTTTTATTTTAAACGGAGGTTGATGGAGAGGTACTAAAAAGAAAATGACAATATGATGTTAATTAAATAGATAATTAATACGATGTAATTAACAACAACAAAAATTCTGCATGAACACAAAACATATTTAAGGCTTGAAAGTATATAGTAAAACATATACTACGTATAAGACTGAGCTCAACTATGCAATGGGATGGATTCGACCGTTTACGCATATGTTTGACCCATGCATTATTAAATATCAGTTTCTACATAGATTCAGCTCGCTAAGACCCTCTCTTTCACAGGCTTTTGTGGAAGAGGTCTAAACAAATCCAGAGACCTCTCGAGGTCTCGAGTTGGTTGAATTGACTCCGTTAGGGGGGGCGTGCTCTAGAGACCTCTCGAGGTCTAAACAAATCCAGATCTTATTGTCAACCATTTTACCAAGGATGACTCATCATCTACTACCAAGGTCAATTAGTCTACTTTCTGGCGATGCTTCTCTTAAAGTACCCCTTGTCTAACCAAGAATTTTTTATATGCTTATTGTGTACAAAACTTATTTTGAATCATGGACTGTTGTCTTTCCTTACAAAAAAAAATGGCACCTGATATTGAGCAGATGTTGACTTTCTTCACACCATTTTGTAAGTTCTCTATTTTCTTATAATTCATTATATATTCTTTTGATATTCAATTGCAGTTCACTAGCATCGTGTTGCTTGTTCTATCTCTGTATTTCCCCCCGATTCAAATTGCTATGTGTTTTTGCATACCTTCTTCCATTTTTGTTGACATCCTCCCGCTTATTATTTGTTCATCTATTTGTTTCCCTTTATTTTATTTTAATTGCCATGTGTATGCTGAAATGTCCATATGAAATTTTCTCATTAAGTGCTTGTCATTTACTTATAGTTCAAGGCAGTTTTTGTTTCACTTTTCCTCTACTTAACTTGTGATTTGCTTGCTATTTCTTTGCTGAAATGTCCACATGTATTACATATAGAGATTTTCAGCTCCCTTACTGTCATGTTACGAAATAGTTTGTAAAAGTGTGAATAATTGACTTCATTGCCACACTACACTTTTGAAAACGTTGCCCTTTCTTTTTGTAGAACTAAAAACCAATCTTATTCATGCACGAAGTACATGTAGTGGTATGCAAATTTCCTTAAGTTAGGTTGTTTCATATTGCACACCTTTTCCCTATACACAGTGTTTCTTGCCACTCAAACAGTTAAATCTATCATATATTTTTACTTGATTTAAAATGAGTTTTTTTTTTTTTAATAAATGTTGTTACAAAACAGACTGTTTTTTTAAACTTAAAAACCAACACAGCCATCTTCAGCACCTATCCACATGCAGCCTGATTATTTTAAAAAATTGCATTGTTAAGTAACTCTTATTTATATTGTTCTAAAATGTATTAATTTCAATTATTTGGCTATTCCTGTGATACAATTTCTGTATATAAAAAGTGAGGAAGTATCATCAAACTTTTCAAAAATGAATGAGAACGATAAAATTGAAACAACAGGCACACATGCTATAGTTTAACTAAATGGGTTAATGGGGTGTTTGGCCAATTACAAAATGTTTAGGATTATATCTGGCTCAACTTTTGTCATTTTTAGCCAATCAAAATATAAGTATGTTTCCTTCTTTATAATTCCTTCTACTAATTTTAAAGAAGGGAGCTGCACATTTTCCCACTATTTTTATTACTACAATTGTTTTCTTAGAATCCAATAAATATTTGACTATTTCTCTAAACAAAACATTTTTGTCTTTGTTGTGTGTGTTTTCATATAAAATGCATGCTATTGTTTGATCTGAACAGTACTCATGTTATGGTTATTAATTATATAATCATCTTGGCTACTTTATTTCCCCCCACATACAATCTAGCCTACAAACACTTTATTGATTCGGATTCTTGATCAATGCAAAACAAACTATGCATTCAAATATTGTATTCATATTACTCAAATCGACTCACACTAAATTCAGGAATTAATATTTCTATGATGGCTTTGGGCATTACCACGAACGCGCAACGCGCGTTACTGAACTAGTTTTTCCTATAAGCGCTGATATGGCCGTCTGTGTAGCATAGAGCTTCTTTTTCCCCTTTTTATTAAATGTTTTCTTTCTTCTTCATCCTCCCATTCTCTGCAACTCCCCCCCCCCCTTTTCTTCTTTCTTTATTTGCTTCTCTTATTTCTTCCTTCTCACCCTCTAGCTTTGCATCTTCCACCACCGTCAATCTCTGCCAGTCTGCCACCACTATCTTCGTCGAGTTCTGTGATGAAAACGCCCAGCCATCTTCATCATTCTGCCGCCGCCGTCGAGCTATGCCGCCTCTGTCATCTTCTCTGCCGCCGCCTGGTTGCCATTGAAGAAGAGGAAGGGTTGCCGTCAGGTCTCTGGGCATGAAATTAAAGGAGGGGATATAGAAGGTTGGGTGGGATAGAAGAAATAGAGTGATGAAGAAGGGAAAAAGAAAGAAAAGGTAAACCAGAAGGGGTGGAATACGGGAAAGAAGGAGAGAAAGAAGAAGGGGGAAAAGTAAAAAATGGAAGGTAGAAGAGGGGGAGTTGCAGGTGGCGGATGGACAAGGGGTACGAACCAGGGGGAAGAAGAGGAAATAGAAAAAGGAAAAGAAGGGGAAAAAGGGAAAAACAAAAAAGAAACCGTACAAAAAATTATAAGTGGTAGGTATTCAAGTCATCAAAATAAGGGGTTACTCGTTGTTTTCCGGTTAAAAGGCAAATTTGATTGAAATTTGAAACTATGTGTACTTAATTGAATGATAAAATAGTACTCCCTCCGTCCCAATTTGATGATCTCATTTCTTTTGGGTTCAAAGATTAAAGAAGTGGTTGAAAAAGGTAAAAGTTGTGGTTGAGATTTGAGTAGAAAAAGGTGAAATGATGTGGACCATATATTTCTTTCCAAAAAGGGAAATGAGACTATCAATTTGGGACAGCTCAGTAAGAAAATATGGGATCATCAAATTGGGACGGAGGGAGTATGTAGATTTGACTTTTTCAAAATTGTATGGGGACTCATTTGACAGTTTTCCTTTAAAAAAATAAAGATTAGACGAGTTAACATGAATGCGAACAGAGAAGCACTAGATGCTTGCATATCACATCAACTTGAAAAGAAAAAAGAACCAGCAATTATGATTTTGTCTTGATTTTTGGAATTTTATGTACAAAAACAGATTAATCAATGTTTACGCAAATTTGCACCTCTAAATATCATGCTTCAATTCTCTTATTATAGTCATAATAATGGGGTACATGAACGACCTTATCTACAAAATGTACTATGTCAGGATGCCCCCAATCTTAATGGCATCTACACCTAGTAATGAATACCGGATGGCAGATGCCTGGAATCATAGGCAATAGAAGCATTTGAAAATTGCATAACTAAGTTACTTTACATTTATAGTAATTGCCTTATATAGGACAAAATTAGACCTAAATGCACATATAAGACTAAATTTGAGGGGATTGACACGGATTTGACATGAAATTATCAATGATTTCGTGTCAAATAGCTCGTATCAAACTGTTTTCGGCACGTATTTCGCATATCCCTGTCAAAGTCCTTGCCAATTTCGAGATATCCCTACCAAAATTCCCGGTCAATCCCGTGATTTTTGTAGGGAAATATGTTTTATTCTTCAAACAATATTTATGTAATCCTATTAAATTAAAGAACTAACTTGATTAAAACTTATTAAAGTGGGAGTAAATGTGTCATAATTTGAGAATAAAACATTGATAATCTGATTCATGAATTTCATCATTGTTTAAATTCTGTTTAGGGAATTTTCTCGCAAGGATTATACCAATTCAAAAAAACTTGCTTAAAAGACCTTTAATGTATACCGGGAAAACGATAGAAACATACCTCACGGTTCATTTTCTTATGGACAGAGGGGTTGCTGAAATTTAGAGATGAAATCAACGGCATACCAAAGCAGACTAAGCAGCAATCTTTTTATTCTCATGTGATGGCATAAATAAGCGAGGTAAAATGGGGGTATCATTTTTTGTAACTCATTTATATCGTCGTGAACCATATTTTTTTCTCATATTCTTTGTAACCCATATAATATACTATCTAATACGGAGTAATGGAGTATGTTATATTATATGGGCTCTTCAATTCTTCTTTCCTATGTAGTAGGTATAGATGGTAGAGTTTTTACCACTTGATTTTGAATTTTTTTCACTTTTAGTCTTTCAACAACTATTCGAAAGATACTTTTGTTATCCCTCTTTGACAATATCCATATTTAGACCTATGTTGTAAAAACCGGACCGGGAAGCAACCCGTCCAAATAACTGGGTCACGGGTCAACCCGGACCCGGCGGGTCAACCCGGTCAACGTCGGAAAACCCGGTCAACATTGAAATTAAGTTATTATTCTAAATATACAAGGTTTTACAAAATAAAAATGTATTTTAAATTAAATGGAAAAAAAGTATGATGCTTATTAGGAAAAATAATTATTATATATAAACAACTTTACTTATTACGTATTATTATAATAAGTCTCTGTAATACATAGTGTGAATTAATGTTGTTATATTTTATATTATTATTGTTATTATTATTATTATTATTATTATTATTTATCTCAGTCATTTTTAGCTTATAATCTATTGACCGAAAGCATTTAGTAATAGTGATTGTTATTATTATAATTATAACGATAGTATTTATCAAGTAACACTAAGCTTTCAATAATACTTCGTATCTAATATATACTTCATAAACATCGACATGAGCAACGAGCTTGTGTAGTTTGGTGGTTAGGAACCAAAGGATTCAAGTGAACACACCCGCGTTCGAAGCTCTTCGGCGCATACTTTTGCAAATAATTCCGGGTTCTGCTGATTTTCCGGGTTTGGGCCGTCCCATTTGCGGTCCGGGTTCGGCCGGTCTGCCGGGTAAATCTGGGTTTGGAGCTATTAGCGGTTTGATGAGTTACCGGACCGGATTAGGGTCCGGGTGACCGGGTTCCGGGTCGACCCGCCCGGTCCGGTTCGGGTCTTTCAACATAGATTTAGACTTCGATTTTAGTTAAAGTGACACTTTTGATCTTTCAATTATTGTTATATTGACATTTTTAGTCTTCCACTTATTGTGTCAAAATCTGTGAAAGGACTAAAAAGGCCAATTTGATCATTGTCAGAAGATTAAAAGTGGGAAACTTGGAAGTCGAGAGTAAAAGTGTCTCTTGTGCATTAATCGGGGACTAAAAGTGTATATCTTAAAAGTCGAGTATTAGTTCAAAAATATCACTAACACTCTATTTTGGTACGATGTTTATAAAGGCGTTTTATAAAGGCAATCAAATTAAGCTACATTGGTACGGGCACATGCATATTGCATATTCAAGTCATTCTTATTCTATAGTACGTATTTGCATTTTTTCTTCCAACTGGCTATATAGGTAGTACGTAATATTTACGGCATTGTTGGCATGCCTTCAAAATAGTTGACCAAAATATTGAAAAGTACGTAAATAGGATATTATTGTTTCATATAAGTAAATGTGTAATGACTTGATAAATTATTATTAATGAAATTTTAATTATATTTATAATCTATCTCTATATAAAAAGAGGTGGATTTTCTGGTGGGTTTCCCGCCCAAAGATACGGGTAAGTGAACGAGTCAAGTACTGTGATAGCGTTGGCATGTTGAAAGCTTTGGTCCAGTTATTTCAAGTGGGCCAAAGTTATTAAATGATGTTTTAATAGGTGTACTGCATTGTTGTCCTTTTCCACTGCAAGGTATTGGGGAATACGAAGTAGTATTTTCATCCTAACCTACATTGAAATCCACGGACTCCTCTTTGACTTTTCAATGTCGCTTTAAAAAATTCAAATTCCAATCACGGGTTTGCTATCGGGTGATTTGTCCTATCAAGTTTCTATTTAAATAAAATAAATTATTTAAATGCATTGTACTTATTGTAGTAGATTACCATATTCATTGGATATTACGGAGTACTTCGTACTGGATCAAAAGTAGTGAAAGAAACAGGTGTGCAATTCACACTATAAAGTGGAGCATTCAAATAATAGACACAAAATAATTTATCGCTACATCTCACTACAACAGCAGTAGGAAGAGAGGCGAGGGATGAGGTGCCATTTCATTCCAAGCGAGGCCAGAAAATTGGTATTTTCTTGCCGACCAAGAAGTAAGTTTATTTTGTTTAGAGCAATTACGAACACTGAATTTTACTAATAAATCGAACACCTATACTACACAGTATTGTACTTCGTATTAATTCCAATGTATGCTCAAGGCTACTGCAATAGATGATTTACGATACAGTAAGAAATATTGATTATAAGAGATCATTTTTAAAACAAGGTTAAATTAAAAGCAACATATGGTATTAAAAAGGTAGTTTAATATATTCCAAAAATAAAAAAAATCATTCTGGATAGGTAGCATATTTCTTATAGGAAGTAAATTGTAAGCTTTGAAATGTATATACCCGTAGTATTATTTTCCAAGGATAGGTAGCATCCGTTGCCAAATTTTGGATATTTAAATTATTATTGCAAATAAATTATACACACACAAACTTACAAAACAAAACCTTTTTTAAATAGTGAGTCGTTGAAGAAGTAACAAATCAAATTACATGTTCCAAATCATGTACTCCGTAGTTAATAACGAAATAATGACAGAAATATTTGAAAAAAAATAGTTGTGATACGGAGATTACTTATTAGAAATATACCAAAAATGGGGTTGAAAATGAGGCAAGAATGATCTACGGCAATACACTCGGGAGCGTAGAGCATTGGACTTACCGACGATTATGCGAAAAATAAGAACAAAAGCAGAGGAGTTCGAATGAGGAAATGGGGTATTTATATTAGGGGTTTGGGCTAGGTAGGTTAGGTTTATACCAATGAGGTGAGTTGGGTCCGGCTGAAGGGTTAAAGGTTTATGAGCTGGGTTTGATCCGAAATTTGGGCTGATTGGGTAAGAAATTAGATGACTTCACTCATTTATTTTTAAAATTTGAAAATAGGGGTGGGTTCGGTTCTTGCGGTTCGGTTTTGACCTAAAACCAAATATAGAATCAAAGTAAAAAGTTCGGTTCGATTTCGGTTCGGTTTTACACTTAAAAACTTGGAACCACGGTTTGATTGGTTCGGTTTGTTTTGATTCGGTTTCGGTTTTTTCGGTTTTTTGCCAAAAAATTATCATTTGATTTAAAATTGTTATAATACTTTGAGGGATCAAACATATACATAGTATTACATAAGGAATGCAAGCACACTACAACAAATAAAATAAAAATGAAAATAAATAAATGTCTTGAATTATATGAGTATGCGAGAGAGATAAAAGTATACTCGTATATTATTAATCTACATTGTTTGTGACTAGTTCAAAAAAATCGTGAGTATATAGTTATATACGTTCTATGTGATATAGTTTAGATGAATATTTATTGTTTCATCAGTATGAATTCTTTAAGTTAAATAAAAATAAAAGTTAATTAATACGAATAACTAGTAAAAACATATTATCATCATTCCGTATAGCTACAT